TTCCATCTCCCAGACGAAGACCCAGAACAACAGTGGGGAACCGAAGTTGAGGACAGAGACACCATCCTCATTATAGACTTCGAGGAAGCCTTTCATATGTGAGCGGTAGGGCATAAAGCCAATGACCTAGCCGCCAAGGCCAACAAGGGAAAGAAAATAAAGTCGTTCAAGGAGATCATCCCCGAACATTATCGAGACTTCATCGATGTTTTCGCCAAAGAAAACTTTGATGAACTTCCCCCTCACAAGCCTTGGGACCACGCTATTGAACTTATTCCCAACGCCAATGCCAGCCTGGATTGCAAGATATACCCCTTGAACCCAAAGGAGCAGGAGGAATTGGACAAATTTCTTGATGAAAACCTGGCTACCGGCCAAATTCGACCCTCCAAATCCCCGATGGCATCTCCCTTTTTCTTTGTCAAGAAAAAGGATGGAAAACTGCAGCCAGTACAGGACTACCGCAAACTTAATGAAATAACCATCAAAAACTGCTATCCTCTACCGCTTATCTCTGACCTTATGGATAAGCTGAAGGACGCAAGGTATTTCACTAAGCTAGACATTCATTGGGGATATAACAATGTCCGAATCAAGAAAGGAGACAAATTCAAAGCCGCATTCTGCACTAACCGAGGGCTCTATGAGCCCATGGTTATGTTCTTTGGATTAACCAATTCACTGGCCACGTTCCAGTGGATGATGAATGATATCTTCAAAGATCTCATTGCCCAAGGAAAGGTCACCATTTATTTGGATGACATCCTCATCTTCACCAAGGACAAGGCGGAACACCAAAGAATCGTGCAGGAAGTCCTGAAGATTCTGCGCAAGAACAAGTTGTTCTTGAAAGCAGAAAAGTGTGAGTTCGAGGTACTTGAGACCGAATACCTTGGGGTCATCATCAGTGAAGGATCCATTAGAATGGATCCAGTCAAAATCACTGGTATCATGGACTGGCCAGCGCCCTCCAAGAAACAGGAACCACAGTCGTTCCTAGGATTCCCCAACTTCTACCGACGATTTATCTGGCACTATAGCGCAATCGTCAAACCAATGACAAAACTCATGGGAAAGGTCCCCTGGACATGGGAAAAGGAACAACAAGAGGTGTTTGAGGAACTCAAACGTCAATTCGCAACAGGAGTCGTTTTGGCAATGCCAAATGACTACAACAAGTTTCGCATGGAGGCAGACTCCAGTGAAGGAGCAATCGGGGCCATCCTGTCACAGGAACAGGAAGGGAAATGGCAACCGATTGCATTCCTATCAAAATCTCTTTCCGCGACAGAACGGAATTACGAGATTTACGACAAGGAATTACTAGCGATAATGATCACCTTGGAAGAATGGCAACACTACCTTATGGGTGCCTGTCAAGATTTTGAAATCTGGACGGATCACTCAAATCTGCAATATTTCTGCAAGCCTCAGAAACTCAACCGCAGACAGGCATGGTGGGTTACTGAACTAGCGGAATACCATTTCATGGTCAACCACAAGCCAGGAGCGTCCAACAGGAAGGCCAACCTTCTAAGTCGGCAGGCCGACCATGACCAGGGCAAGAAGGACAATGATGATATTGTCCTCTTGAAACCAGAATTCTTCTGCACCCTGATAATGCCAGTGGAGGAAGAAGTTCATGGCAAAATTCGAAGAGTGACAAGCAATCACCAATGGTGGGACCAAGGAATCGCCTCAAGCCTCAACCACGAGAAGGGGGTCATGGAGAAAGACCACCTTCTATTCTACGATGGACGTATCTATGTTCCCCGTGACCACACCCTAAGAGGAGAACTCATCTCCCATCACCATGATCATGTCTCCACAGGACACCTGGGCATCGAAAAAACCAAGGAATTAGTCTTAAGGGACTACTGGTGGCCCAAAATGTGAAGGGACGTGGAAACTTATGTCCGAGGATGCGAGGCATGTCAGAGGACAAAAACTGATATGCAGCGGAAAGCAGCTCCGCTACATCCCAATGCTGTACCATCCCGACCCTGGGAACACATCTCAGTCGACACGATCACTGGATTTCCAGAATCCAAGGGCTACGATGCGGTACTAGTCATCGTAGACTGATTCTCAAAATACATCGTGCTGATTCCATGCACGAAGGAACTCTTGTCGAGCAGATGGGCCAAAATCTTATGCGACGAGATCATTTGTCGATTTGGGGTGACCTCCTCCAAAGTCATCTCTGACCGGGGACCCCAATTCATATCAAAATTCATCACTGAGCTGTATGCAATGATGAATATTCAAGGAAATCCGTCAATGGCCTATCACCCTCAGACGGATGGACAAACGGAGCGGGTTAACCAAGAACTCGAAAAATACCTTTGAGTCTTCATTAACCACAAACAGGACGACTGGAGCGAATGGCTGCAGTGGGCAGCATTCACTCACAACAATCGCCAACACTCTGCAATGGGCTTTTCCCCCATCAAAATCGTCTTCGGATGAGATGGGGACATTCGCCCAACCACGGTGAGGCAGTTGGAAACACCATCAGTAACTGACTTTGTCGAAAGCCTCCAGAGAGTACACAAACAAGCGGAAGACTCTTTGAATAAAGCCGTCGAAGTTATGAGAAAGGCTTATGACAAACACACTCGCCCTGCACAGGAGTACCAACCAGGAGATAAAGTCTGGTTGGACTCAACCAACCTTCACCTCCCCCGACTGGCAAAAAAGCTAGGCGACAAATGCGTCGGCCCCTTTGAAGTAGTTTCCAAAAAGGGGCCCTCTGCATACGAACTAAGGCTGCCACCAGGATGGAAGATCCACAACAAGTTCAACGAACGATACCTAACTCCGTACGTCCCCCCAGAGTTTTCCAACCAGGAAAAACCTCCGCCACCTGAGCCAGAACTCGTGGAGGGCGAAGAAGAATACGAAGTAGAAGAACTACTTCAGGACCATGACCAAATCATCAGCCGAGGACACAGCTGGAGGACTATAACAGAATATTTGGTCAAATGGAAGGGATACCCAGTGGAGGAAGCTACTTGGGTCAAGAGGAGAAATCTCGCCAATGCTGAAGAACTCATCAAGGAATACGAGAACAAGGAAAACCACGTACAGGATCACGATTTGCGACACTTGGAAAACAAAGGAGGATGCATAACCATATCATCTCCTGGCTCTTCAGCAACTGAGAGCTCAACACTCTTTCCAAATGCCAGCAGGAATCATACCGATCCATTATCCTTTGACAAGCAGGGCTTTTATTCATCAGACACGGATGAAGACGTCTGCGAAGACGAGCGTTCCATGTCTCCTCTAACGACTCAGACCGACCCTAGCTTCCTCCTAGAAAAACGGAGCATGTCTGCTTGGGAACAAAACAAGGACTACGAATCCGATATGGAATCTACTAACTCCCTCTTCTCAGGAGTAAGTACATCTAAAGGACTGTCGGGATGACAGTCTTAGTTGGGGGGTATTATTACGACTTTATCCCTATTTTCCTTATCTTATCTTATCCTTATCTCTCAGAACCCCAGACCTGCCTATCTTATCTCCTGGACCCATGATATTCTGCTGGCACACTCCTTACCCATTTACCCGGTTGCCATCACCCCAGTTCACAGCTGCCGCACCCCAGATGACCGATGACCTGCATATGCCATCATGCTTCTCTTGATGGCATCATGCTTCTTAGTAGTTGGATGAGAGTCGACCACCAGTTGAGGGCAGTCTGCGGGATGCAGCCTATTCAGACGGAGTCCCACGCAGATGCAGGTGATATGCGCTCTTTACTCTCATTTGTCGGGAGTACACTTCTTTTAGTGTCCTCACTCCTCATTCGTTAAAAGATGCACTTCTCGTTGCATGCGCCCTTGTAGATACTATTCTTAGTATGAGTCTAACATGTATTTAAGCTAGCCTATGCTGTGGCCTTAGACCCCAGCTTCGGCTAAGGTTATATACTCCTAACTCTTACAAGCTCCCTGCTTTTGCTATAAAGTGACACCTAACTTCTTGCAGTCTACCAACACCTCTCTAACACTGAATCACCAAACACAAGTGACAGGATAGAGACCAGCCTTGGTTCAGATTAGAGTTAGTGCTTAACACTAGTCTGTGTCACAAAGCATCAGATTTTCACTACGAGACGGTTTGCATGTGGACGATTTGTGAGGTGCATCAGGGACTGGTCACTGGTCTGACACCAGAAATCTGGGAGTCTTATACCGACGAAATCCACCTACAGCTCCAGATTAATCTTTACTCGTCCATAACAACTTGAAAACATAAAGACTGCATCTCAAATCACAGACCATTGGTCAGCCGTTGAAGGACATATGGAAGGCTGAGACAGTAGCATGAAGCTTCAAGCAAATGTTGATGTACTAGCACCTGCACAGACTTGAAATTGAATACAGGGAAGCGAGGGCATGAGCATATCAAAGCGACTTGAATAAGTGAATGAAACTCGAAGTCAGCATTGGAGTATCCAGAAGATAATGGCTGAACCATGGAAGAAAGGTTTAGTAATGTGTGACTTCCATTTGAAAAAAAATTCTCCAATCTTGCCTTGGAATATAGCCAAGACAAGCGTCTGGGCTTGGGCTTAGTTGGTTGCGACAAGCAAGGCCACATGGAACAGACTAGATGAAGGAGATCAGACTTGGCATGCTTAACCTGATCGATCATTTCCGAGTCCAAGATTAGCCTAATCAGGATTACGTTTTGACTTCTTTCTTTTGTACCGCTTCGTGCATGCTGGTGCAACATTGTCGGTCACCTTCCAAACGACGGATGCATTTCAGTGTCAAATTACTCTGACTATCATCTATAATTCACTCAAGAAACACACTAACTAGTTGGTGAGGGCCAATGCATCCATGTGGCAGGTCCGAGTCCTATGTTTTTTGTCTCCAAAAAATAAAAGAAAAAGTTAACAATGATACTTAATTGAATTCATGGACTAATAACTACAACAGATTTATACAAAAGTACATCACGTCAGACTCCTTGCAAAGGACAAAATGGTGACGAAGGTGATAGACATACGGGATCCAGAAGAGCAGAGAGTGCATACTGACATGGTAAACAGGAATGCAATATCATCAATGCTGCATCTATCAAACAAGACAAGGACACAGGGGTGTGGAGGATCTTGCGTCAAAATGCGAAGGATGGGACTATCGAGGAGATGGTCTTCACGATCACGGGCGCCATATTCGCAATGGATATACCACCTGTAATGAAGGAGACAAGGTAAGTGGACAATTTCATGATAAGAGGGAGGGGGTAGGGAACGTACTCACAATTTACACAGGATGCTGAAGGAAAAGATGAGGTATTGAGCAAAGGAAAAGACAATGCCATGTCCACAATCAAGGAGATACAAGTTATGGGGGAAAGAGAGTTCAGGGAAGGGGAATTAGAGAACTGGAAACTGGATACAGAGATGACGAACCACTATTTCAGACCCAAAAACAGTTTGAACAAAGAGGAAGGAAACCTATTGCAGCCAATGTCGACCCAGCGGGTGTACTCACCAAGATAGTGCAGCGGAAGTTGATCCACACCGAAGAAAACATCATGTGCTACTTCAGAGAAGGGAGGGAAGAAAAGGTCAGCACCGCAGAGCAATCAAGAATGTTAAATTGATGACACCTTTGCGTTACAGATACATGATGGTAAAGCCACAGACATTCTGGGTAGGCGATGTCATCGAAGCCTGGTGCTCGATGGTATTCATGAGGAGTAACAAGGCAGGGCAAGGATGAAGACGATTCTGAGGGCATTGGCCCTAGTGAACTGTGATCACTCATCAGTGAGTGATACAGATGAAGGTATCAAGGACAACGTACTGATCAGACTTATCCACAGAAAGCCAATTTGGACAGGAGAAATGTGGAGAGTATGCCGGCTCCAGCTCATGCGGATGAAGAGGAAGATAGGTTTTGAGGAAGATGAAGATGAGGATGAATACGCGGGTGGGCGCTAAAAAGACCAATAGGATGAACGAGGTGGATGACGATGAAGGAACAGTGAGATTTGTGCAGTTATATATGGCATGTGCTTATAGAACGACGCAAAGAGAAATTGACATTAAGAAAGGCAACAAACAGGGGAAACAAACAAAAAAACAACAGAAGCTGCCAGCAACACAAAGAAGCAGCGATGAAACAGAGCTGTCGGGAGAAAGAGGATGAAGCCGGGAGAAAAAGGGTGCACGAATAGAAAACTCCCATGGCCAAAGCCCAAGGGACAGAGCGAGATAGTCGGCAAACGCCGCCATCAATTGATTCCACCAATAGAATTTCCCACGGGTCTTTCCCAACTGCATAATGACCGAGATATCCTATATTCATAGGACTCGGAACCCACACGGTGCTACACATACCGAGCAAATCTTTTAGACTGTGGCGGACGACTGGCTTGCTACGAGTCCTATTACTTCAGAGATCTTAGAAAGCGACCATGCACGGGCATATCTGGCCGATCGACGAATTTTCCGCACTGTAGAAAGCTTTTGACAAGATAAGCTGCCGAAATTTTTACCGGATAGCAGATCCTGGTGACGGGCATGTCAGCCCTTGCCGACTGTCCTTGCGTCCGGATTTTCCCCGACAATTCATTGACAAGAGAACGCTCATAGGTATCCGAGGGCTATATAATGTCTGTACTTTGGCTAGGTCGACCCCAGCGTCTCTGAATTCTACTTCAACATGCAACTACTGCTTGCTTTGTCTGTCGCCTCTCTAGCGGGCCTTTCCATGGCTTGTGATGCGTATACTGGTGGTCTCCCAACCGCCACGGGTACAGTGTCTAGTAAAGCTGTCATCGAGGTCGCTGCAGGCGAGGTCTTCGATGGTGGCTGGAAGAAGTACGACCGTGGAAGCGGTGCTTGCAAGTACGCGTTTTTACTTCCATATAAAGATTGTCATTGAACATTTGCTATCATAGCGGCCAATCCGAAGGAGGTATACACATCGTCTCAGGCTTATGATTAGCTGCTGAACTAGTGCCCATCACAGATTACACAGATGCAGGTATATTTTCTTTTTTATGATCTCAAATAGCACTATACTGATGCCTATAACAGTTTTCTACCTTCACGAGGGTGCCACCTTACAGAACATCATCATTGGCGCTAACCAGGCCGAAGGTGTTCGTGAGTCATTTTTGGTTTCCTTCCAGGCGCTCTCTCAATAGCTTCTTGCACCAGACTGTACTGGATGTGCGTTTTTCCCTGGTATATATATTCTCGGGTTGGTCTAAGCTGCTCTAGACTGTACCTTGAAATTCGTTTGGGTGAGTTACCATCCTGAGTTCCGAGGGCTTCTGTTAATGTCGTCATGTAGTTCGAGGACGTCTGCGGTATGTGTATATTATTGAGCACCAGAAGTCACTGATAATTCACGTCGCTCCTTTAGAGGATGCTATCACCATCGTACGTATACCTAACTTCGATAGAGGCCATCTAGTAACACATTCTATCCTCTATAGAAAAATGACGAGGCCGGTGACTATACTAACATCATCGGTGGTGGTGCGTACCACGCCGACGACAAGGTCATTCAACACAATGGTTGCGGTACCGTTAATGTACGATCGTCATTTTCTTCCTAGTTCTTGAGCTTACCGTTTCCTTAAAGATCATCAACTTTTTCGTCAGTGGTAAGTGCCTCTTTCCGGCATTAAGCTTTACTTCCTCACGTCCGCTTTAGACTACGGAAAGGTGATTGATTGTCTCGTTTTTCATTACTTCTTCACTGATACCTTGATTAGCTGTACCGATCTTGCGGTAACGTATGTTTCATGCTAATTTCTTGCTATTGCTTTTTGCTCACATCTTGTTGAAGTGCAAGAGTCAGTGCAAACGTAACGTGTATATCTCCGGTGTTTACGCCGAGGACGGTAAGAGTCAATTACACTGATATGCTATTTTTTTTTTACTCACGGTTAATAGGCGGAACTCTCGCTGGAATCAACTCCAACTACGGGCATACGTCCATATTTCTCTGTCATTTTCATGATCTGATGCTTACTGTTCTTAAATACCAGGATACGGCTACCATCGTTGACTCCTGCTAGTGCGTTGTACCCATTTATATGTCCTTCCTTCCCAACTCATGATAACCACAGTGACACAAAGCACCCTTGTACGCTTTACGACGGGTGTGCTGGAGGGTAAGCGTCGTCTTTCTCCTTCTAGTAATTCTCTATTCATAACATCATACAGCTGCGAACCCGATGTTGTCGGCTACTGCAGTGGCTAAGTGCCTGCCTAACTCTATCCATCGAATGTTTCATGGCTTTCTTGGTCCAAGCTCCGTAAGACTTCACTTGCATCATTTGGTTGCTTCTGGGAGGCCTAATGGCATGATTCGTAGGCTACGTTATCCATTCTTTCAATGAAACGTATTTGCTTGTCTTCATTCTGTCAGAAATAAGTTTGCGCACATTTTGAGTCGGATATTAAGATCTTGGTTTGGAAACTTTTCATTAGCTTTGACCTTTCCGTTCCACAAATAGAGAGAGTCCAAAATTGTATCGTACCTCGACATAACACCGCTAACGGACCAGGTTTGTACATTCGGGGCAATAAATTAGATGCGGGAGTCGCAACTTTAAGAAGTGAAAGAATACAAAGGTTTCAATTTCATTTACTACTTGTTCCTTAACGAAGATACAGCGGCAGTTGCCGGGTCTGCGGTTCTTCCCTTTTTTACGAAGACATGGTGGACTGTATCTATTTAGCTGAGTTCATGGTATGTATACATCACGTCTCGAAGAAGAGAATAGAATCTTTTACTTCGTACCATACTGACTGTCCGATAGGGAGACGTCCCGGATTAAAAGATGTCCCAGTAGCCATCACAGAGCTACCGCCGCGGGTTCGCCAATCGCCATTTAACTTCTCCTCCTTATTCTGTGGAAAGAACCGGGGAACAGGACTCGCAATGAGTATGACGTGTACCTCGCAAGAACGCGAAGATGATACCATGCACTGCCACTGAAAAGAGAAGACTCGGAACCGGCTTTCCCCAGGTACAAACAAAACCTTCAAAACCACAGCTGGGTGGCGACTACTTTGCGCGGGTCAAAATGGAATCAAAATCCTTGGCACCCCCCTAATAAGGAAATACTGAAGGATTTTGACCGATGCAAAATCCCAAAAGTGCGTTTTGATGTCATTTAGACTCGTGCAAAATAGCCGTTACCTAGCTGTGAACGATATCAGATCTTGCTTCCACTCTCAACGCCTCTGCGACGGACCCTGTTAGAATCGCGGGGCCGTTCTCAAACGAAGTGAGTGGCAAAATGGGTTTACATCTGTGGCATACGCGACATGGGGACTAACTACGAAATATCTGGCCTTATATACTACAAAATCCCCTCGGAAATAAGCCAACACGTAAGTAAATCGATACGAGAACCCAACAGCGATTAAATGTCTTCGCCATGAGAGGCTCGCATATCTCAGACCCGTGTTCGGGACAAGTTCTTCCCGAATCCGCAAAATTTTCATGTATCGCCTGATCCTGAAACATTTGATGGTATTAAAGACTACAAAGAATATTAAGGCTCCTAAGTCCTTTAAGAGAGTGGATCAATCGAGCGTGTGGGGAAGGAGTACTACCGTGAAAACTGAAAGCTTTGGTTAGTAAGTGATCAATATGTATATTGCCAGATGATTTTTCTTTGTGCGAGCCGCATTAATAACTATAGTACCGGTCTTTCGTCCTGAAGACTACTTTAGCGCGACTCACTTCTGCTTATCTTTGAATTGCCCACCGCCATGCAACCTGTCATTTCCGACTAATACCGGCCCCTGAACTTAGGATGACTCACGGTTTTAATCCTCATTATATGTGCGCCTTACAGATCTCCGGACAATAACAATGATAACAACGACATCTTTATCCACTCCGCGCGCATACCCAAAATGGGCTCCCAGCACAGTATATAACCTGCACCGTAGAGGATAGCGACCTTCAGCAAGCACCATCTGGAAGAAGTCAGATTGCCATGGCTTCATCTGCTACCGGTACGTGTTTTGTCAAGTGCTATTGTTTCACTGGCTTACACGTTCGGTTTTCTTAGCTCGATTGCTAACTCGCAGTATTCGTCAATAGTCACTACCGCTTCAGATGCTCAGCGTCGACTGATCCCAACCTTACAGAGCTCGAAGGATTGGAAGGAGGAAGCCCGCGATATCCTGAAGTTCTTCATGGATCATTTTGACACTACAGACCTGCCATCCGTTTCGGACCCCGTGTTCGAGGCCCTCGCATTCAAAGAGGCCGAGCGCCGTGAATATCCCATCGACGAGCTCAAGCCCTACTTCATGCTCGGTGTCAATTCTACCATTTCTGCATACCACTACCTGGGTGACATGGGCATCAAGATATATGCTACCTTCTTCCACATGTTCATGCTGTATCTCGACGATCTCTATCCCCGTGATGCCAATTTCCAGAAGGGCATCAACGAATTCACCAAGGTGGATATCATATTAGTTCATAGCTTTCGATGCATGCTGATTCTTTTATGAAATACTAGCGCTTCACGTCCTCAGAGATACAACCAATCAAAATCCTGAGCCACTTCGCTGACCTCCTTACTGAAGCGTACCAAACCTTTGGCAAGGTCACAGGTGACCTCGTCGTCAACACCGCCCTCAAATTCCTTAGCGGTTTGATTTTGGAAGTTGAGAGCAAGAATGAGCCCGTAAGCCTTGGTTTTACCCCTGCCTCTTCAGCGCATTCACCCTGTTACCCAGACCCATCAAGTCGAAGAATATGCCTTGTATCTTCGCCAATTAAGTGGATTCGGTGAAGACGCCGCCATATATGTTTTCCCTAGAACGCTTTCCTACAACTTGTATATCCAAGCTCTTCCCTGCATACGCGATTTCATCAATTTTGGGAACGACGTTCTGTCGTTCTACAAGGAGGAATGCGCCGGCGAGACACATAATCTCATATCACTCCTGGCTAAAGCCAGGGAGGAGCCAAAGACTAGGACTCTCCGTTATCTAGCGGAGCAGTGCATGAAGGCGTATGACAGGGGTTTGTATACGCTAGCGCCGCATGAAGAAGCTCGCAAGGCGTTCGAAGATTTCGGGAGAGGATATTTAGCCTACCATCTGGGTACAGAGAGATATCAGCTTAGCGAGCTAAACAAGTAGCCTTGTACACTCCCTCTATGCAATTAACTTAAACCTTGTATAT